GCATAGGGCAAGCTCGAGAGGTGTGCATGGCCAACACCGAACAGATAGCCAAAATCATTGAAGAGGCCCCGGCTAAGCAGAAGGAAATCTTCAAGTTTTAAATGGAAATGGCTATGCAAGAGATGAGACAAATGCACGATCAACGAATCCGAGCTTTGTCAAGTCAGCTAGTGGAATCCAGCCATCGCATCCAGAACGCCGCAGTTGGCAGCAATCCGGAGGTGGTTGAAATCGTCATGGCCGACGCACCGCCCAAGAATACTGGGAGTGGCCCCACTAAAAATAACAGCGCTGGGGGTGGACCCACCAGTGATGACAACACTGGGGGTGGCCGTATATCCAAAACAGGATATGGGTGAGGCCGAAAAGATAAAGGAGCTCGAAAGAAAAATCGAAGCCCTGATGTCTGTTCGGGAGGTGAAGAGGACCGGCATTCCGTGTCCTTACCCGAGAAAGTGGGATTCGATCCCGTATCCGGCGAAGTTCAACCTGATCAACTTCACGCCGTTCAACGGAAAGGGCTCGCCCACTCAACATCTGATCTACTTCAAGTCTCACTTGGGAGTAATCTCGGGCAACGAGCCTTTGATGGTTCGGTCATTCGTTGGCACCCTTCGCGGGCCTGCCTTCGATTGGTACCGCCGTCTCAAGCCCGGAAGCATCAACAGCTGGGAGGACTTGGAAAGCATGTTTCTCGCCCATTTCTTCGATGATGACACCGAGGTGTCGATCAGGACACTCTTCGACGAGAAACAAAAAGACGGAGAGTCGGTGGATTCCTTCATCAAACGCTTCCGCAATCAGGCAATGAACTGCAGGGATCCCGTCATGGAGGAATTCCTTTTGCAGACTTGTCAGAACAACTTGTCCATTAACATCTTGGACGTGATGGGAATAGAGCCGCTCAATACCTGGAAAGAGTTGAAGGCTCGAGGAGAACAGGCTGAACGCTTCATCAGAAGGCGAAAGGTCGAGAGAAACCAACCGATGGTTAACCCTCCGGATTCGGATCTCGTTCCTCATGATGAAGAGGACGCACCTGCAACGGTTATTGACGATGATCAAACGTCACAACAGCAGTCCTGGGAACAACAGGAGAATTCAGACGAGGAGCTCCAAAACGAGTACTCGTTCAAAGACGAAGACGTTCCAGCTATTTTCGAGACCCTTCTCGAAAACAACAAAATCAAACTCCCGCCCATCACGCATCAAGAGGAAGATGGCGATTCTGCGGATCCAACGTACTGCGAGTACCACAGAAGGATCCTCCACCCCACCAAGGAATGCTTTGCTCTCAAGAATAGCATCCAGACCTTGGTTGAAGCCGGCGTTATAACGCTAGGGTAAGCCGATTGAAAACGGCAATACTCCAAAGAGTACAAGAGTATAAACTGTTCCTCAATACTCCAAAGAGTACAAGAGTATAAACTGTTCCTCAATACTCCAAAGAGTACAAGAGTATAAACTGTTCCTCAATACTCCAAAGAGTACAAGAGTATAAACTGTTCCTCAATACTCCAAAGAGTACAAGAGTATAAACTGTTCCTCAATACTCCAAAGAGTACAAGAGTATAAACTGTTCCTCAATACTCCAAAGAGTACAAGAGTATAAACTGTTCCTCAATACTCCAAAGAGTACAAGAGTATAAACTGTTCCTCAATACTCCAAAGAGTACAAGAGTATAAACTGTTCCTCAATACTCCAAAGAGTACAAGAGTATAAACTGTTCCTCAATACTCCAAAGAGTACAAGAGTATAAACTGTTCCTCAATACTCCAAAGAGTACAAGAGTATAAACTGTTCCTCAATACTCCAAAGAGTACAAGAGTATAAACTGTTCCTCAATACTCCAAAGAGTACAAGAGTATAAACTGTTCCTCAATACTCCAAAGAGTACAAGAGTATAAACTGTTCCTCAATACTCCAAAGAGTACAAGAGTATAAACTGTTCCTCAATACTCCAAAGAGTACAAGAGTATAAACTGTTCCTCAATACTCCAAAGAGTACAAGAGTATAAACTGTTCCTCAATACTCCAAAGAGTACAAGAGTATAAACTGTTCCTCAATACTCCAAAGAGTACAAGAGTATAAACTGTTCCTCAATACTCCAAAGAGTACAAGAGTATAAACTGTTCCTCAATACTCCAAAGAGTACAAGAGTATAAACTGTTCCTCAATACTCCAAAGAGTACAAGAGTATAAACTGTTCCTCAATACTCCAAAGAGTACAAGAGTATAAACTGTTCCTCAATACTCCAAAGAGTACAAGAGTATAAACTGTTCCTCAATACTCCAAAGAGTACAAGAGTATAAACTGTTCCTCAATACTCCAAAGAGTACAAGAGTATAAACTGTTCCTCAATACTCCAAAGAGTACAAGAGTATAAACTGTTCCTCAATACTCCAAAGAGTACAAGAGTATAAACTGTTCCTCAATACTCCAAAGAGTACAAGAGTATAAACTGTTCCTCAATACTCCAAAGAGTACAAGAGTATAAACTGTTCCTCAATACTCCAAAGAGTACAAGAGTATAAACTGTTCCTCAATACTCCAAAGAGTACAAGAGTATAAACTGTTCCTCAATACTCCAAAGAGTACAAGAGTATAAACTGTTCCTCAATACTCCAAAGAGTACAAGAGTATAAACTGTTCCTCAATACTCCAAAGAGTACAAGAGTATAAACTGTTCCTCAATACTCCAAAGAGTACAAGAGTATAAACTGTTCCTCAATACTCCAAAGAGTACAAGAGTATAAACTGTTCCTCAATACTCCAAAGAGTACAAGAGTATAAACTGTTCCTCAATACTCCAAAGAGTACAAGAGTATAAACTGTTCCTCAATACTCCAAAGAGTACAAGAGTATAAACTGTTCCTCAATACTCCAAAGAGTACAAGAGTATAAACTGTTCCTCAATACTCCAAAGAGTACAAGAGTATAAACTGTTCCTCAATACTCCAAAGAGTACAAGAGTATAAACTGTTCCTCAATACTCCAAAGAGTACAAGAGTATAAACTGTTCCTCAATACTCCAAAGAGTACAAGAGTATAAACTGTTCCTCAATACTCCAAAGAGTACAAGAGTATAAACTGTTCCTCAATACTCCAAAGAGTACAAGAGTATAAACTGTTCCTCAATACTCCAAAGAGTACAAGAGTATAAACTGTTCCTCAATACTCCAAAGAGTACAAGAGTATAAACTGTTCCTCAATACTCCAAAGAGTACAAGAGTATAAACTGTTCCTCAATACTCCAAAGAGTACAAGAGTATAAACTGTTCCTCAATACTCCAAAGAGTACAAGAGTATAAACTGTTCCTCAATACTCCAAAGAGTACAAGAGTATAAACTGTTCCTCAATACTCCAAAGAGTACAAGAGTATAAACTGTTCCTCAATACTCCAAAGAGTACAAGAGTATAAACTGTTCCTCAATACTCCAAAGAGTACAAGAGTATAAACTGTTCCTCAATACTCCAAAGAGTACAAGAGTATAAACTGTTCCTCAATACTCCAAAGAGTACAAGAGTATAAACTGTTCCTCAATACTCCAAAGAGTACAAGAGTATAAACTGTTCCTCAATACTCCAAAGAGTACAAGAGTATAAACTGTTCCTCAATACTCCAAAGAGTACAAGAGTATAAACTGTTCCTCAATACTCCAAAGAGTACAAGAGTATAAACTGTTCCTCAATACTCCAAAGAGTACAAGAGTATAAACTGTTCCTCAATACTCCAAAGAGTACAAGAGTATAAACTGTTCCTCAATACTCCAAAGAGTACAAGAGTATAAACTGTTCCTCAATACTCCAAAGAGTACAAGAGTATAAACTGTTCCTCAATACTCCAAAGAGTACAAGAGTATAAACTGTTCCTCAATACTCCAAAGAGTACAAGAGTATAAACTGTTCCTCAATACTCCAAAGAGTACAAGAGTATAAACTGTTCCTCAATACTCCAAAG